CGACCTGTCCGCGCTAGCACAAACCGTCCGTCGCGCAACCCGAACGACGACCCCGATCATTGGTCCACATTGCACCCACTGCATTTCACTGAAAACTCAGCGTGTATCCCTAATCCCTCGGCTCTTGGCCCCAACCGATCCCGCGCGAGATCCAAGGTAGCCCTGTGTCCAGGGGGTAGCCTAATTTCGCCGCGAACGCCATTTCATGCTGGCGTTGGAGACTGATAACAATCATGTCAGCCAGCAGAGACGGGGGAGTCTGATCTACCAGCACGGTTAAACCGCTGTGATCGCCCCAATCAACTGGGCCCGACACTTCCCAGCCAGCAAGCTGGAGCACTAGTCCCACTCTGCGAACCGGGCCGCGAGATGAGCCCCAAGGGCCACCCTGCAGAGGCCGGGCCGAGTCCCAGAGCCTAAGAAATCCAACCTTACTGGCGAGTACTGTCTCGGGCCGGGTGGACGCTATCCAAAGCACTCTACACCAGCGGATAGCACGGGCAACCGCAAGCCGAGAACTCTCGCCCCCGAGAAGAACGAGTTTAGCTGTCAGAAAGACACCTCCATGGCATGGCGCGCCCGAGCTGCAAATCATTCGTTGGTGGGAAACCCACTCGGCCTGGCTCGGGCCTAGGACTTCAGCACCGAAGCTGCTCGCAAAGGCAACCCCAGCGCGGCAAATCCCGTGAAAGGGGGCTTCTTTCCTGCCCTTGAACCGTTTCCGATAAAACTTGACTTTGCGGATTCTCCCCTTCATTCCTGTGCGACGGCCGGCCTGCTTCGCTCTGGCCCCTACAACACTGCGCCTGGATCCAGCTGCCTCGTCGACACCGAGGTAGGATACGCCGTTCTTTAGGGTCGAGTGCGACCATCCTAGCATGTCGGGCGCAGCAGTGCCGATTTCCTTGGGCGACGCCAGCAGACCAATCTTCTCAAAATCTAGCACAGCTGACAACTTCTCCGAACTACGTTGAAATTCCGCCATCGCATTGACAGCAACCTTGATTGCCATCTCCACATCCTTCGAGACAGTATTTATCGCAGTATCGTCAATGTATTTCAGGAAACCAACCGCAGGTCATATTGATGTGTACTCGTCGAACTCAACGTATCCATGAACGTTGATGGCCGAATCGTCGCAGGCATCCCCAGCGGGTAGCCCGCAGACTGCGAGCAAGGGCAACGTGGAGCGCCAACTCCAACCCGCGGGAAGCGTAGTTGCACCGAAAACGGGCGCAGAAGGTAGCGCAGGCGGAACAGCGTAAACGAAGTGCCCGATGATGAAGCCATTGCCCACGACCTTCACTCCCGCGGGCCTGCGCGGCCGCTTGGCCCAACTCGCGTCCGCTTCCACTCCTCTGAAACCACGCAGCGCTACATCGTTCATGGCAAAGTGATCGATCGCCGTGGCACCAGTGCCTCCTCTACAAGTGACTTGGGGACGCACTGCCATTGCAACTCTTGCTGTGGATGGGAACCACGCTGCTCCAGCCCATTCACAGATATATGCCAGTCAGCACCTGCTAGACATGGACCACGCCAATCTGTGAGACACTGTCCCATTGACGCAAGTAAGATAACACTCGTCCCAGCTAGTCCAATCGCATCCTCGAGGTAGCCATTAAGAACGTGGAACGGCGGCCACCCAGGCAAATCGACCAGGACATGATGGAGCCTGCGTGGGTACAGAGTAGGTTGACCATGCTCAGGTTTGCGGAGCCCGATATCAGCTCGCGCGAGTACTGCCACACCTGCTGAGGGATGACCTTTCGCACTCGCACTGCCTGGAACTGCAAGCAATTTCCATCCACGTTTGTGTGCCCACGTGCAGAACGACTCCACATTGCTGGCATCATATCCAATCTCCTGCGCTAAGATGGCGCGAGCACTGGAACGGCGGACATGGCCCTTGAGCCACCATTCCCGTTGAACGTCTCAAATGCATAAAAACTCCATGGCGGAGGCGTCTGCACTGACTTGACCTTCCCAACCATTGGAACTTGAATCCCTGAGATACGCACAAGGACCACACCTTCCGATCTCAAAGCCGACGACGATGCCCCCAAACAGCTACCCCAAGCGCGGCTTCTCCGCGAGCTCGCGGGAACGGATGTTGAAGGATTCGTAGCCACCAGCCTCGAATGACGTTCGCTTCTCCTCGTCGGACAGGTCCTTGAAAGAACGCTCCTGCCCGTCGCTTGCAGAAGGAGGGGGGCCATCACCATCAGGAAGAGTATCGCCAAGATCGGGTGGCGTGGCTGTCCCTCCTTCGAACTTTGCCTTGCGGTGATCCTGAAGTTTGGTCCACAACTCGGACGACAGGAAACCTTGCAACCCT